ACCGATCGCGTGCCTCAAGCTCCCCCCTAGCGAAAAGCCTGATAAGGCTGCGATCTCCCAAGCTGCACCCACAAGCCCTCCAGCTCGGACTCTGATACCTTGGGCCGTAACTGCTTCCTCTTCTTAGATTTTTTGCCCATGGTCTTTTGCTTAGGGCGAGCAACCACAGGCCAAGAAGCTTCTGCTAGTTGTTCGATGGGTATTTGCACCCCCACCTACACTCCTCCAATAAGGTTGAAGCTAGGGTTCGCCTCAGCTAGTTCAATGGCGCTGACCCAGGGAAAATGAACCCCCTAGCTCTTAACGATCTCGGTACTTTGGGTGGCATGGTCGCTGCATGCAAGTACCGTTAGTAAAAGAGTTCGCTGCATGCAAAAGAAAAAAATTTCTAAAACTGCAGACACTTACAAAGTAAGGGTTCCAGGGTCACTTCAGAATTGAAGAAGTCGTACGTCCTCAAGTTGGTAGTTGACACGAGTAGTCTCACGTCGCGACTCTGCTCGGGCAGGTTACCGAATGATAGTATTCGGTTGAAGTCAGTGAGAGCCGTCAACCTGGTCATCTTGTTTCCTGCGAAGAAACAGGAAAGATCATTAGAAAGCAAAGACTAAAGGAAAAGAAAAAGTTCACTAAGTAAAAAAAGGGAAGACCTACTCGGCTCCCTAAATTAGCAAATGTCATCATAATGGAAAAAGAAAAATTTAGTCTTGTATGCCCCGACATTATTGGGGTAACCAAATATGCCTCTCTCAATCATAGATCGCTTCGAGAGGTAGTAAGAATCTTTGTCCTTGCTCTTCTTCAAATAATAAGAGCAAGCGAGCTCCAGCGCAGTCAACTGGTTGAGGCCGTTTTTGTCGCACGCGATATACATAGCCACGGCTATCATATACGCATTTGGCATCAATTGCAGAGGTGCAACCTCGAAGCAATTAAGGATCGGCCTAATAAAGGGGTGGAAAGGTATTAGCGCCTCGCATTTAAATATCGCCTCGGAGATTACAGCCATTCCCTTTGGGGGATTCCGAGCTGTATATGACCTATACCAGTAGACGTCTACGCTAAGTGCGTATTGGTCTACTATCCTTTGTATTTCCTCCCAGGTGGCCACTAACAGAATCTCTTGCATGAGACCTGCAGGTGCATCTTGCGCCTGCGAGTTTGTCCCCTCATTTGTTCTGGTCGCTGAGGCATCTATCTCTCCTACGGTCTGAAAAAGGGCAACACATAGAGATTACTCATTCTTCGTACAGAATTTTGTATGATGACGTAAAAGAACAAAAACCCTAATGTATCTTCCTTAAACCCACCAAAAAACATAAAAAAATCCTTGGGGACTACCCCCAAAGATTCGTGCCCTAAAAAACCTATTCCTTATGAAATAAAAAGCATTCTCCATTCGACTGCCCATAAACACGCACCATGAAAGTTCATTAAATAGATTCACACCCACCATTATCGCCTGGATAAGCTATCTACAAAGTAGACAAAGAAAAGTAATGGAAGGATCTTCCTTACCTCTTGGTTATGGGGATCAAACTTCTTACTATGAACATAAAGTGCGCACCAACTTGAGAATGGAAAATTTGGTCTCGTGAGAGCCTTTTACTTTCTCTAAAAATATGAGTGTTCTGACATTGCTTAAGGCGAGCCTGGGGTTTTATAATGGAGAAAGTGGCGATTAGTCTTCCCTAAGCCAAGCGACGCTTGGGCGGAATGCATTTCTCGCCATTGATCGCGATCACGTGTCATTAATCGGCGAGAATGAGTAACTGTCACACTTCGAGAAATTCAATCGTCGCTTCCCTCCATTGAAATAACCGAGCAACGGCTCGATTCTCTCCTCCACATTAAATGCGCTCTCATCCGCATTAATGCCCTAATAAAGAATGTCGTTTCAGCATGGCTTGCATTTAATGCGCATGGCTGACACTTATTGCGCACAGGACATGTCTGTCAAAATAACGGTTACTTTATTAATGGATTAGCTGTCAAGCGCAATGGATAACATGTGAAGAGGTCGTTGAGATAGAACACTCTTCTTCGCATATCGGTTACGGGACAATGTGATTCCTTGTCTTTGGTAAAAATATGCTAAGTGCTATCAGGTCGCAGATGTCGGTTAAGATAAGAGGCACATTGATATGGCACTGAGTAAGGTCTAATCCAGGTCGTCGACTTTGAGAAAGAAGACCATCTCAGGCCGCTAGTAGAGATGTGTGCTGCAACCTCCTTGTAGCCTGGTCAGCTGGATCAAGCATCATTTAGGACATGTCAAATCGTGGCATAATTATGAAGTTCTCAAGGTTCGATCCTTAAACCTTAAAAACTGGGGGACTTCTATTATGCCTAAAAAGGTAGGCTGACATGGAGCCTCGTCAACAAGGGCTGGTCAGAGCTCAGAAAGGTTCTGTGCCGCCTAGGTGCAACCACGTCGCGCAATGACACAAGTGGCATGGTTCCTGTCAGCGCAGTAGGTGAGCCCCAGGCTTACAAGCGGTTGGGAACCGCCCACGTGTTCAAACCCTGTACAAGTCAAGGAAATTCCTCTGGTAGATAACCAATGGGACACAAAGAAGGATTTGCACGACACCTACCCACTTGCAAATTTTGTAATCACTACTTGAACTCTCCCACTATAAATAGAAGTCTTCTCTCTCCTTTGCGGGATTAGCTAATTTTACTCTTAAATAGCTTACTCTCTCTCTCTCTCTCTCTCTCTCTCTCTCTCTCTGTATTATCTTTAAACTGTAACTCAGCTCGTTGATCGCAACCTGACTTTACTCTCTTATTAATACAATAGCAGTGGACGTAGGATTCACTTTTTTAACATCCGAACCACTTTAAATATTGCTTCGCATCCATTATTTAATTCGATATTCTCGTATCACGTGTGACCTCTAAGTCTGCTTAACATTTTATATATGCAAATAGTTGGTGTCAAAATCAAGCATCAATATATCACTAGTTATGAATAATGTTCAATAGTACTATAATCTCGTAGCAAAAGTGCATGTTGATCTATCACACTATAATAGCAAAACAAAAGTAAAGAAAAAAGTATGGGCAATTTGATAAAATGTGGGGCCTAAATAAATTCGGTTCTCAATTTAGTCGGTTGGTGGGTTAAAAATCTTGACAATTTGAACAACTACTTTTTGTCAATTTGATTAGCTGTCTTCGGCCTAAAATTTGTGGCCAAAACCATGGCTTGGATTTATAAAATTTATTCAAACTAAGTCAACTATTTTTTTTTTTATAATTGAAATTAAAAAAGAGACAGTGTATTTAGCCCCAATAAAACATATAAGTACTCCTCGTTATTTAATACACTTCATTTATTTTTTAAAATACCCCATTTAATACCCAAAATATCCTTAGCAATTATATCGGTATTCCTCGTTATTTAATACACTTCATTTATTTTTTTATATACCTCATTTAATACCCAAAATACCCTTAACATATTTGAAATCTTTTCATTACGCTCTGATTCAAAAATATTTGTTCGGACGTAGTTTTGATTGTGTTTGTCTTTGCTGTAAGGATTTTTGGAAATCTTTATTTGTTTTATTATTTTGCATAAGATTTTTTTAAAAGTAAGAGTTTGGTGGTTATTGCGAGATAAATTTTAAAAATTAACAAAAAAAAACTCTCTATGTTTGTTAATTTATTAAATATTCATGTAATAAAATATTAAAAATTAATAAAAACACCCCTACTTACCTATTAAATACCGATAACCGGCCAACAGCGTTGGAGGGTGGCTGGAGTCATCGTATCGGCACATAACCGGCTGGATCTAGCTGTTCGTGAGCTGATATGACCTTTTCCAGCCAGATCCATCGTGGATCTAACCGAAAAAGGCCAAATCTATAACTAGATCTAGCCGTTGACGGTCAGATCTGACCGCGTTTAGTCGTCAACGATGGCCAAAGATATAGTTGTCGTTGACGACTAGCTACGACCAAATATCTGGCCTTTTTCAACTAGATCCATAATGGATCTCGCCGAAAAAAACTAGATCAACGCACTACCAGCCAGATCCAATCGGTAATGTGCCATTATACCAGATTCCAGCGACCTTCCAGCAGTAGTGGCTGGAATCTGACAAATGTGGAGGTGTTTTTGTCAATTTCTAAAATTTTTTGAGGTGTTTAGTTAAATTAACAAACCTAAGAGGTTTAAAAATAATTAAATATAATATAATTTTCAGAATACATAAACAAATATGTATTTCAAGTATGATAGGGATAGGATAGTACAAAAATACTAAAACAAGTGCACCGTAAACTCTTTGTTTAATTTATTGAAGGGAGGTATCCAATTTCATATTGGATTTAAATTTTGTTCTAGTTTTAATTTGTAAAAACTTTTTTTTTTTTTCAGTAATTAGCCACCCTTGAAGCCTTGATACAACTCAAAGTCTGATGTGTTTTAGAAAACTTACTTTATTAGTTTATTATCAGGTTCTCTTTGAAAATATAATCAAACAAAGATTAGGTATAGATTAAAAGTTTTCAATGGCTACATAAAATTAAGGTTAGATTTTTGTGAAAAACAAAGATTTATGATATAAAAAAAAAATTATGACAACCAATCCATGATTAAAAAAAATATATTAAATAGAATAAACATATCACATTATTCGTGTATCTACATTTTATTTTGTATATAAAAGTTTTTATTTCACATATAAATAACGTAATACATCAGATGCGGAAGTTTTACTTCACATATAAATAACGTAACACATCTGTATCACATTATTATTGTAACGATAGTTGAAAATGAATTCATAACACGTTGAATAGTATTCACACATAATCATAACAGAACGTAAAACTTGTAACATAGAGTGGACCTTCATGACATTTTTATTGTCGCCATGGCAGTAGTATTAGACATCCCTTAAAAGAACAGCCAGAAGCAAAATATAAAATCAACTTTGGAATCTGATCATGACAATTATTATTATCACAATGAGTTGATCCATATTGAACAAGCATAGATTATGATTATCATTGTCACCACCACCATCAAAATTGCCATGAAGATTATTTGCTTTGCTTACACTCAGACAAACTATTGAAAGAAAACAAGCTCATAGAAAGAGAAAAACAGTAAAAAAAAAAGAAAAAAAAAAACAACGGAACCGCAGCTGCCCCTATCCGCATATCTAATGGCACAACAAGAGAAACAACTGTATCTACAACCTCAAGCATAGTCGCTCGCTCACCACCGATTCTCTTCACACATAACAATAAAGCAATACACGAGAAAACTTTATTGGATATTTTATACCTCTAGTTTATCGTTGTGTGAGGATACGACAAGCAGCGAAACTGGAGATGTTATTTGAGTTTGCACTTAGAGCTGTACTTGTCTGTCGAAAATCCAACTGAATGGAAAGATGGGTCCTTGCTTGGCACGTCCTTGAGCCCTCTCTTCCAGCCTTCTGATTCTTGGAGGTAACCCGCAAACATAGTCTTGAGCTTTCCGCCCATCCCCTGAAAGTCCGGTTAGCTGATCAACCTTCCATCTGCCCACCAAGAATTCCAATATGTCTGCATAGTCCTTTGCGGTGTACACACCAAGCCGCTGAGCAACAGCTGAGAAGTGCTCAAAAAGGTCATCATCACGGCCATCATACATTAAGTGAGCTGGCATAGAGATTTTCTTCCTCATCATGTCGGCAAAAGCCATGATAGTTCCATCGGGATCAATCTCAAAGAGCTTTTCCACTATCTTGGTGTAGGCAGTCTCATGGCGCTTCTCATCAGCAGCAATTATACCACATATTTGAGCCAATTTCATGTCTCCATGCTCCTTGGCATGACGAGCAGTGTTTCCATGCGAAATAAAGGTTGCCCTTTCTTGGAATGAAGTATAGATGAAACCAAGGTAGGGACTGTTCTCTGTCCGGGGATCCTATAAAATGATACCCAAAAAAAAAAAGAGAAAAGATTAATTTAAGAGCATATTATCTTGGCCATTTTATGAATTTGAATAGAAGGGGAATAAATAGATGACACCTTAGGTAACCGACCCCATAATCTCGAATATTTTTAGTATTACTATATACTACTTTTTATAACATTACTTTTGTTTAGTTGCAGCCCTTCATTTTTTGGAGTAAAGATAATCAAAATAACTCATACTCTTTGTTTTGAAATGATATTACTATATCAAAGACTAAAATAAGCAGAGGAAAAACGACACACGACCTCTTACATTTAGAGAATGGATATCAAGGGAAACAAAAGGCAATTTTAGGTGCGGCATGGATATGTACAAGATGAAATACCAAACAGACAAAAAGACAAAAGAATATATGTCAGTCGTGCATGCAGAATCTTGTGTGTTTGTGTGTGGTTTTTATGTGCCTAAGTGTGTGCACACATGCAAGTATCAGTGGTTATAGACTTTCATCATTCTAAATCCCCAATTTTGTATGAATTGAATTATCCCTTTGCTTAAGCTGCAAAGGGTTCAATTTGAGAGTAAGTGTCTGCATGCGCATCTATTTTATAAAATTACTACTTGTATTATATCCAGAAGGCTGCTAATTTAAGAGGCAAGGGTCTTACCATTCCGGATCCAATCAAATACTGAATTGTCTTCTCAATTTGTCTCATGTCTACTCGTCCGCTCAAGTAGAGATACTTATTGAGAAGGTCTCCATGCCTATTCTCTTCAGCAGTCCATGCCCTGGTCCAAACAGCCCAAGATGTCGGGCTTGCACCTGTTTCATCACGAACTCCATCCAAGGTATTAAGCATTGTTTGATAAGTAGGAAGGGCTTCTTCTGTGATCATGTCTCCGACCAAAACAACAAAGTAATCATCTGGAATCTCTTTTGCCCTCTCCCTCAGTTCCTTGACTTGATCATGAAATCCATCAGAAGCAGGATCTGGCAGAAAATCTTGTGGTTGCCAACATTTCTCAACTGGCTTCAGGTGAACCAAAATGTTCTCCTCAGCCCAACCCTCCAAAGACTTAAAGATCTCAATCTTTTGGGGAGGCATTGAGTGGGTGACTTGAACATGCACCTCGCGAGGAGGTGTAAAAGGCTTCTTAAGACTCTCAACCTCCCTGCATCAAGCAGAAGAATTCGGGATCAGGTACACAGTTCAGATTAGATCCATCACAACAGTTACGTATAATTAAAGCTTAGAAAGATCCAAAGCTACATAAGCTCATAATATATATGAATAGTTGCAAGTTTTGAACGCCCAAGCATATCCAAAACACGAACATACAGGGCAGGAACTAAAGAAATGTCCCACATTCCAATTACAATTACAATTCTGTGGTTTTGTAGTTCATACATATACAAACAAAATTAAACCTGGACAAATATAATGTTCATGCAGTTATTTACATTTTCTCAACGTGGTTTAAGACTGGATTCATCACAAACACATGAATTGATAAACTACTTGGCCATGCTTTTGTCATCTACGATGTAGTAGGTACATAAATAACTTATATGGCAAAATTAAATTGTCATTTGACTGAAATTTTGTAATCTAGCATCTCAGAGGGGAAAGATATCAGGGTTCCAAAAGCTCAGGCCGATTGTCAGATACTCAAAATGTATCATTTGTGCGATTTATCAGAATAAGACACTCATGAGAGAATATAAATAACATTTTACGTTTATGGACACCATAAATCTTTTATTTTAAATAAGGCAGGACCACAACAAAGTAGTTCACTAATAACTACCAAAACCAAAACAAGGAGAAGCGAATCAGAAGAGAGTAAAATAAAGATTTCCTCCATTCCTCCAAACATGACCAGCAGCTACTACAAGTTAGGAAATGTCAAACAAGAAAATTGATGTGATATGATTGCTCACCAAAACTAGGTTCACCAACTAGTGTTTTTTTACTTCAAAAAACATAAACAATAATTAGAAGGACAAAACATGTTTTAGAATACGAATCAACGAACAGAGCAAGTATTGGTTGATCAAAGTTTAAAAAGCAATGGACATTATTAAACAAAGAGAAATAATTGAGACTAAATCATATAATAATTCAATAAAATCATTTGTAATTGGAAAAAGAAAAGCATGCATACAGAAACTTCCAATGGTATATTAGCTGCAAAGATTAATTTGTGATTAACAAGACAAAACAATGATTAGTTCAAAATAATTTCAAAAAAGAGTAGTTCCAATGGTAGAATAGCTACAAAGATTATTTCGCAAGTAACAACGAGACAAAACAAAGTCAGCTTAAAATAATTTCACAAAGAGTTTTTTCACCATTTAGAACCGTAACAAAGAATTTTACCGGTTCCTTGAACTAAAGCTGCAGTTTAAAAATAAGTCAAAGATCCACCAACTATTATAAAATGCAAGGGATGGATTATAAAAATGAAGAATCTATGCATAAAGGTATCCAAACTACGTTCACCAACTTGAATCTCCTTTCTCAATATGTAGATTCAACCACAATTTGAGAAGGACAAAAGGAAAGATAAATAAAATGGCAAAAGCGAAAAATATGACATAAACTCGCCAACCGAAACACTAAGCCTGCTATGCAAATTTAAACCAAAAAAAAGTACATCAAGAATCATTGATCATATTTGAAAATCACAAAAGTGAATAGTAATGAACAAATGAACAATACATGAAAAACATAACAAAAGCATGTTAAAGCGGTAGAAGTAAAAACCAAAAAGCCATTAGTTCCCAACTGAGTATGGCCTGTCCTAAAGCTGGAAAATACATCATCATTCAAGAAGTTTCCAAATAAAGACAAACAACTTCAACCACCAAGAACATAAGAAACAAACAGCTGGGCTGGCATGCACACACTTGACACAATAAATAATATAATAATAGATGAAATAAAACAAATTAAATTGGGGGCATCCAGAAATTATATGCACTGGAATATTCACCTAGGTAAAATCAGCAGCAGAAACATTGTAAGAAACAAAATAATAAGGACCAAAAATATCCATGAATTAACCCTTCAATTAATGCCAATGAAAACAGACATTCCAAGTTATGAAAATGAATAATAGGAAAAATTAAATATCTTAAACCAACTCCAACCCCACCTAATGGAAAATGACATACAGAAAATTGTGCATTAATATGAAATCAGGGATTGCATAAAAACCACCAAATCAAATGGAACCAATTCCAACCACCTCATGAAAAACTTGTTTTGAATTTCTTAAATGGCCTTGAAAATGCAAAAACACGGTATTTGACCATTGTTGAAAAGCAGTTTCAGCCTCTCTTTCATTTTATTGTGTCATTAAAATTCATGAATCATGCTACACTGGCAGTAATTAAAACAAAGAAAAATCAGCCATCACAATCAAAATCAAAATCACAAAGTCATACCAATCTTTTAATAGGAAATAAAAAACAAATATCGTAATCACTGCATACACCTCCACAAATTAAAGTCAAATGAAATGAACAAATTGAAAAAATACAGTATAACCACAAAATCATTCCTCCACCAAACTGAANGAGAGACCCGTCAGCTTCTCCACATTCCATTTTCCTAGAAGAAATTCTAGAATATCTGCGTAGTCCTTGGCTGTGTAGACTCCAAGGCGTTGAGTGACAGCTGAGAAGTGATCGAAAATATTATCATCTTCCCCGTCATACATCAAATGTGCTGGCATTTTAATCTTTTTCCTCATCATCCCATCTAAAGCCAACATTGTGTCATCCGGGTCTACTTCAAAGAGCTTCTCCACGATCTTTGTGTACGCAGTTTCATGTCTTTTCTCATCAGCAGCAATAATACCGCATATTTGTGCTAGTTTCACATCTCCGTGCTCCTTGGCCAGCCTTGCCGTGTTACCATGTGAGATGAATGTTGCTCTCTCTTGGAAGGATGTGTAGATGAATCCATTGTAGGGATTTTTTTCAAATTTAGGATCCTATATTAATTAAAGTATATGTTCATTTTATGAGTTGATGATAAGTGGTACTATTAAATTAAATTTATATAATAAGAATTATCTTACCATCCCTGCTCCTATGAGATACTGAATAGTCTTCTCAATCTGCTTCATGTTGACTCGTCCAGAGAGGTAAAGATACTTATTGAGAAGGTCACCATGTCTATTTTCTTCCGCACTCCAAGCCCTTATCCAAGTTGCCCAAGAACCGAGGCTTGCACCAGTCTCATCCCGAACCCCATCAAGTGTGTTGAGTATTGTTTGGTATGTTGGAAGGGCTTCTTCTGTAATCATATCACCAACTAATATAACGAAATACTCATCAGGGAGATGACTAACTCTTTCCCTCAATTCCTTGACTTGATCGTAGAATCCTTCAGTTTCAGGTTCTGGCAGAAAATCTGTTGGTTGCCAACTTTTCTCAACAGGCTTTAGGTGTACCAACACATTCTGCTCAGCCCAACCCTCCAAGGATTTGAATAATTCAATCTTCTCTGGTGGAAAGGAATGAGTAACGTCACCATATACATCTCCTCGACGGCAATACAGCTTCCTTAAATTCCCGACCTCTCTGTAATAAACAGACAAGAATTAAAAATTCCTAAGTAATTAAATAATTTATGCGTGTTTTAATGTAGCTAGCGCTAATCTAGCGATATAAATAGCAAATATTCAAACGCCTTCAAATCATCACCAGACAATAATTTTTAAATAAATTTGATAATATATGCTTTATACATTTATAAGCATGCATACAGAACTTTAAGAAACCTGCATGCATGTATATGCTGCATCTTGGCAAAAATTACTAGGCCAATTTAATTGATAACTATGAGCTGTTTCGGATCTAAGAAAACAGGACAAAAATTACTAGGCCAATTTAATTGATAACTATGAGCTGTTTCGGATCTATGATAACAGGAAACAAAACCCAGTTAAAAATAATGACTGATTGACCTATAAATTGTATTTTTGAAGGGAAAAAAACTCACTTGGTAGTAATAGAAAGAGTAGAGGGCATGAAGTGTCGTGGAGATGTGATGCCATGGGATTGAAGAGAAGGGAGGTTTAAGGACAAGGAGGAGACTGTCTTCAGTTTCAGAGCCATCGATCTCAATTTTTTATTGTGTTTAGTAATGCATGGCACTGATACAAAAGGAGAAAGAAATGGAGAAGACGAAAAAGAAAAAGAAACAGAAAAGTGAAAGGAGAAGAAGACGAAAAAGAAAAGGAAAAGTGGAGAAGGAGAGGAAGAGAAGAAGACGAAAAAGAAAAAGGAAATTGGTGAAGGAGAGGAAGAGAAGAAGAAAAACTGAAAAAGTTCTGGAAAAGAAAGAGAAACGAGTGAAAGGAGACGAAGACGAAACGAAAAATAATTGAGTGGAGAAGCAGACCTAAGAAATTGTGCAGGAGAAGCACTGAACTACTGAAGCAGACTGCAGTCTGCATACCCAATTACCAAGAAAAAGTGGAGGAAAAAAGAGCAGGATATCTTGGGTCCGTTTCTTTCGTTATTCCGAATCCTATTTGGAAGGATGTACTCAAAATAAATGTTTGGGCCTTTAGATCGGGTTGAAATTTTTTATTTGTTTAATTGAGCATATTGTTTGGTATTTTTGTATAAAAATATTACTGAAAAATAAGATAACAAACAATATAAAAAAGAGGGTAAATTATCAAGAATAATATTATCTGGGAAGAGGATAGTATTAAAATATTATTTTAGTAATCTAAATTTCTGTCCAATTTTATCCTAAAACAGTGGACAATGTAGATAAAAATATCATTGGCTTTGTTAATAATTACAAAACACATAATTCATAAAATGACAAAAACACCCACATCACCACAGTGCTAGATTCCCGTCACCACCATCGAAATCTGGTCAGAATTTGTCCTTACGACTCAGACTGGTCGAATCTGGCCGATGGTGTGTCGATCTAGCCTTTTCCAGCCAGATCTATCATGGATCTAGCCGGAAAAGGCCAGATCTAGCCACAAAAGGCCAGATCTGGTCGTCGTTGACCGTCAACGATGGCCAAGAGTTGATTGTCATTGACCGTTAATGACGACCATTTCTTTGGCCGTCACTGACTGCCAGATTTGGCCTTTTCCGGCCAGATCCACCATGGATCTGGCTGAAAAGGCCAAATCGGTGAATAAATGACCATTTCCGAACGTTTTTAGGCCGTTGTGACAGATTTCGGCCACCACTAACGGTGGTTGCGGGAATTTGGCAACTATGGGTGGGTGGGGTTGTTTTTGTTAATTTTTACACTTTTTTTTTCTAGAGGTGTTTAATTAAGTTAATAAACTTAAGGGGTCTAAAAGTTATTAAAAAACTAGAATATTATTTCCCAAATAATTAAACAAACAAGTATTTTGGGAATAAGATAGAGAATAGGGTTTGAAATAATAAAACAAACAAACCCTTAATTATTTATATCTAGTAATCATCTAAAAGGCATTATAGTAAAAGGGTATTTTAGGACATCTGTTATTATTATCAACCAAACACATTAATTATTAATACATCCCAATTGAACCAAGTACAATAATAATTTAAACCCGGTAATCTATAATGTAATCTTTTTTTCCGGTAATCTTATTACTAAGATAAAAAAATATTATATGATTCAAACACCCCCTTTGCTTCATTATCCTCAAAATACTATTATATTTTCTTTAATTATATTTTAAATCTCTTAAGTTTATTAATTTAACTAAACACCCTTAAAAAAAAAATTAAAAATTAACAAAAACACCCCCATCCACCCACATTTATCAGATTTCGACCACCACTGCCGAAAGGTGATTAGAATCTGGTATAATGGCACACTACCGACTGGATCTGGCTGGTAGTGTACCGATCTATCATTTTTCGGTCAGATCCACTGCCAAAGATCTGGCCGTAGCTGGTCGTCAACGACGGTCATATCTTTGGTTGTCGCTGATGGCTAGATCTAGCCGTCAACAGCCATAAATGGCTGTAGATCTGGCATTTTCTAGCCAGATTCGTGGTGGATATGGCCGAAAAATGCCATATTAGCACACGAATGGCCAGATTCGACCAATCATGCACCATAACGCCAGATTCTGGCGGTGGTGGTCGGAATCTGGCAACTGTGGATGGGGTGTTTTTTTGTCATTTTACAAAATTTTATATATTGAGGTGTTTAGTAAATTAGCAAACCTAGAGGGGTGTTTTTGTTAATTTTTAAATCCTACCTCATTATTTTCACCCAACTCTAAAAATATCAAAAATCATATCCAAAATAATGAAACAAACTTATTTATTTTTTTCAAAACCAGTTTTTAAAACGGGTTCGGTTAACTGGTTTAATATTATCCTTAAACCGTTAACCGAACCAAAAATTCGGTTTGGTTATTTTTTAAAACCCAAACCGAACCGGTAGAGATGGCAATAGATCTGATATTTTCGAATACCCGGCCCATCCCATCCCGAAAAGGTCAGGCCTTACTTGATGTTCGCGGGCTTGGGCCTGATTTTAAGGCTCGACCTCGGGTACGAGCCGGGCCTGGGTATGTCTTCAGGCTTGGCCCGGCCTAATAATTTTAGTATTAATTATAGTAAATTACCCTTATACTATATATTTAATTACAAGATTAATTATTCTACATATATATACTTATTTTTCTCAAACCTTACATGGATTGATGGATGCACTTTATGGAAAGTTATTTATATATTTGATGAGTATTAAAAAATAAATTAATATTTAAAAATTGTTTCTAGAATTAAAAATAAAAATATAAAAAAAAATTTGAAATTTATTAATATTTAAAAATTCACATTATAAAAATGGGCAGGCTTAGGCTGGGCCTGAGATTACAAAAAACCCGTCAGACCAAACTTGGGTTTTACCTGTCATACCCGTGACGGGCTTGGGCCTTTGTCATGAGGTCAGGCTTGGGTCTAGGCTAAAGGGTATCCGATCCTGGCTCGACCCATTGCCATCACTACGAATCGGTTAATCTGAAAATTTGTTTTTTCGATTCAGTTTTGATTCGATTTTCCGGTTTGATTCGGCTTTCAATTTTTTTTTTTTGGCAGCCTAAGCACCTTTTATAACGAACTGGCTTTTGAAACCGTGTACATACGAAAAAGGAAATATTGTCTCTGTTTTACACTTCTCGATCTATTGAAAGAAAGTCGATCACATATAAACACATTTTAATACTTTAAATTAAGTTTCAAATTTAATCATATGAAAATGGGTATTTTTATCATAATTGTGGTCTCAAGCTTTTGAAAATTGGGGCAACCAGACACAGAGCTGCGTGCGTGCATGATTATAAGATTGACTTGCGGTAAATATATGAAACCGCACGCTAACTACTGTTATTACTATTACTATTACTATAATTAAATACTGTTAATTTAATGATTTAAAATATATTAATAATTTATTATTTATTACTAGGCTCTTAACGTAACTATTATAGTCTACAAATTTGGACTTTCAAGTTCATCATGAAACTAAGACTACATCTTAATTCACATCACATGTCTTGTCTTATACTACTTTACCCAAATACTAATTGAATGCCACATGCTTATACGTGTCATCCATGCCTTCTAACACTGCTTACCATTTTAAAGAACAAGAAGAAAATTTTAGAGGAAAAATATTTGTAATCCATTGACTAACCTATCTTTTTAATCAAAATCACCCTCCTTCTGTAAATAGATTCAAAATTATTTTATGGGTTTATTTGCAAGGGAAACTATTATTAGATGTCTTTATGATCAATTATGGTTTTAGATATAAATGCTTAGAGATCTAGTATGATTTAAGCTTAACGTTTTAGATGAATTACATGGTATAATAAATAGATGCATGCATGAATCTTTAATTTAAGTTTCCAAAACCTAATTGTCCCTTGAATTTCATGGAACAGCCAAAATCTTTTTTTTTTTTTTTTTTAATTTATTTAAATTTCATATGAAACCTTGCTTTTTTATAATACTCTTTCCGTTTCAATATAACTGTCGTTTTAAGTTTTTACACAGTTTTTAATAAATAAAAAAACTGTGCAGAGATTTGACTTTTTCCTCATATTGCAGGTGGGAAAATTTTGTTTTCTCCGCTGCAATACATGTGTGAAATATTAAAATAAAGAGAGAGAAATTGTGAAAGATAGGAGATGAGGGAAAGAGATAGATAAAGAGAGAGAGAGAGGAGTGTGAGGTAGGGTAGAGAAAAAGGTAGAGAGAAGAGATGCGGGGCAGAGTGAAGAATAAAGACATGAGTCACAAAACCTTGAAAAAAGACAACGTCATTTATTTTAAAAAAATTAATACCCTCACAACGGCTTTTATAAAGAAACAGAGAAGTAATATGATGCATGACTATCTATTCTTTATCGATCATTTCTTTCAATAAAACTCTTCTAGTAACTTACTATAACACATACTCGATCTTTTGTAATTCTTTTTATAGAAATTCTAGTCAAGAAACGCTACTTTTTATAAGACTATTCCTTTAGAAGTTGTATCATATGGATCCTACAGAGAAAATATCTTGACCTGAATGTAATTAAAGGATGCCTGTCGGTGGCAAATTCAATTGAGTAAATATCATAGAAGATGGTAAGCATACTTGTAAGTTTATTAAAGTTATCACCCATAACACATGCATATTCTGCCCTTAATTAAACCCTTATTTTTCTTCCGAAAATCCAGCTGAAGGGAACATTAACACTAGTGTTAGCTTGTTTTGTCCTAGCCTGAGCTTTATTTTCCAATCTTCTAATCCTCCTAGGCAATTCACACACAAAATCTTGAGCTCTATGCCCCTCACCGGAGAGACCCGTCAGCTTCTCCACATTCCATTTTCCTAGAAGAAATTCTAGAATATCTGCGTAGTCCTTGGCTGTGTAGACTCCAAGGCGTTGAGTGACAGCTGAGAAGTGATCGAAAATATTATCATCTTCCCCGTCATACATCAAATGTGCTGGCATTTTAATCTTTTTCCTCATCATCCCATCTAAAGCCAACATTGTGTCATCCGGGTCTACTTCAAAGAGCTTCTCCACGATCTTTGTGTACGCAGTTTCATGTCTTTTCTCATCAGCAGCAATAATACCGCATATTTGTGCTAGTTTCACATCTCCGTGCTCCTTGGCCAGCCTTGCCGTGTTACCATGTGAGATGAATGTTGCTCTCTCTTGGAAGGATGTGTAGATGAATCCATTGTAGGGATTTTTTTCAAATTTAGGATCCTATATTAATTAAAGTATATGTTCATTTTATGAGTTGATGATAAGTGGTACTATTAAATTAAATTTATATAATAAGAATTATCTTACCATCCCTGCTCCTATGAGATACTGAATAGTCTTCTCAATCTGCTTCATGTTGACTCGTCCAGAGAGGTAAAGATACTTATTGAGAAGGTCACCATGTCTATTTTCTTCCGCACTCCAAGCCCTTATCCAAGTTGCCCAAGAACCGAGGCTTGCACCAGTCTCATCCCGAACCCCATCAAGTGTGTTGAGTATTGTTTGGTATGTTGGAAGGGCTTCTTCTGTAATCATATCACCAACTAATATAACGAAATACTCATCAGGGAGATGACTAACTCTTTCCCTCAATTCCTTGACTTGATCGTAGAATCCTTCAGTTTCAGGTTCTGGTAGAAAATCTGTTGGTTGCCAACTGTTCTCAACAGGCTTTAGGTGTACCAACACATTCTGCTCAGCCCAACCCTCCAAGGATTTGAATAATTCAATCTTCTCTGGTGGAATGGAATGAGTAACTTCACCATATACGTCTCCTCGACGGCAATACAGCTTCCTTAAATTCCCGACCTCTCTGTAATAAACAGACAAGAATTAAAAATTCCTAAGTAATTAAATAATTTATGCGTGTTTTCATGTAGCTAGCGCTAATCTAGCGATATAAATAGCAAATTTTCAAACGCCTTCAAATCATCACCAAACAATAATTTTTAAATAAATTTGATAATATATACTTTATACATTTATAAGCATGCATACAGAACTTTAAGAAACCTGCATGCATGTATATGCTGCATCTTGGCAAAAATTACTAGGCCAATTTAATTGATAACAACAAGCTGTTTCGGATCTATGAAAACAGGAAACAAAACCCAGTTAAAAATAATGACTGATTGACCTATAAATTGTACTTTTGAAGGGAAGAAAACTCACTTGGCTGTAATAGAAAGAGTAGAGGGCATGAAGTGTCGTGGAGATGTGATGCCATGGGATTGAAGAGAAGGGAGGTTTAAGGACAAGGAGGAGACTGTCTTCAGTTTCAGAGCCATCGATCTCAATTTTTTATTGTGTTTAGTAATGCATGGCAGTGATACGAAAGGAGAAGCACCTTTTATAACGAATTGGCTTTTGAAATCGTGTACGTCCGAAAAAGGAAATATTGTCCCTGTTTTACACTTCTCGATCTATTGAAAGAAATTCGAACACATATAAACACATTTTAATACTTTAAATTGAGTTTCAAATTTAATCATATGAAAATGGGTATTTTTATCATAATTGTGCTCAAGCTTCTGAAAATTGCGGCAACCAAGACACAACTGTGGGCGTGCATTATTATATGAGGATGAATAGAAATTGAGAAAAAGGCCTTACGAAATAAAAATGTGAGGTTGGCGTAATTTCCTTGAAAACGATCAAAAACGTGCATAACAGAATGGAAGGTGGATTTCAAACATGCTATTGCCGCCTTCATATACAGGAGTTCATTACGTAATATCATCTTGCAACCCACACAAAATTGAAGTTGAAATGTGTTTAGTAATAATGTTTGCGTCCAGAGTTGTATCACCAGAAATTACTCCATCACCATATACGCATTTTTAATATTTTATTTCCTTTTGTTATAACAATCTAAAATATGAAATCTAACTATAATGGAAATCACATGTTTCACTTGCTTAAAGAGCATATATTATATGTTATATGTTGAAAGTCAAACCGATTGATTGTGTTTATTTGATTCTTTTATTTTGTTGTTATATATTAGCTAAAGTATCTTGTTTTTTAGGAATTTTTATTTCTTAATTTTTATTTTCCTTTTACAAGAAGATTGAATTCCTAATTGTCAAATTTTTTTGATTTATTTTTATTATTTTCCTTTAAGAGATATTCCTTTCCGGAATTATCTCACTATTGTAACCTATTTATTTATGTCTTCTTTATTCAATAAAAAAGAAGATCACAGAAGAAATTGAGTTGATGTTCTTTCATACTTTCATTCTTTATTTTCTTCATGGTATCAGAGTGGGTTTAATCCTCTCTTTGTCTCTATCATCAAGTTTTTCTTATTTGTTATCTCTGCATCAATAGATGGAGAAAGAAGGTCAAGGAAATCACGTCTCCGCCGAGGAGCCATCACGTTCTAAAGCAAGTTTGTTTAACAAAGAGCAAATGGAGACGCTTCAAAAATTATTGTCTCCTTTTCTGTCAACTCAGTCACAAACCGGCTCATCTTCCAACTATGTTATTGGTTACGGAACCTTGAATCACAAAGATAATTTTTTGAGTGCCTTTGCTGTGGGTAAGAAACGTAAAAAACCTTGGATTGTGGACTCAAGAGCATATGATCACATGACGGGAGATGCAACAATGTTTGATACATATAACCCATGTCCAAATAATTTAAAGGTCCGAATAGCAGATAATTCGCTATCAAAGGTTATCGGTACAGGCTTAGTTGTGCTATCAAAGAACCTTACTCTCAACTCTGTTCTTTTTGTTCCTAACTTGGAATGTAATCTATTGTCAATTAGTAAACTCACTAAGGAAAAGAGGTGTGTTATTAATTTTTCCTCCACTCATTGTGAATTTCAGGATTTGGATTGGGGGAAGACGATTAGTAATGCTGAGGAATGCTCTGGACTCTACATCCTTAAGGAGCGCCATTATCCAGAAGAACAATCTCAAAAGGCAATTAGTGTTAATTCTTTTTCTGTTTCTTGTCAAAATAACGATAGTGAAATCATGTTGTGGCACTATCGCTTAGGTCATCCAAATTTTATGTATCTCAAGCATTTATTTCCATCCTTACTTAACAAAAATTCAAAATCCTTTGAGTGTGAAATCTGTCAATTATCAAAACATGTTCGATCTCATTTTCACATTCAACCCTACAAAGCGTCTAGTTCATTCTCAATAATTCATAATGATATTTGGGGTCCATCAAAAATAAAAAATGTAACATGTGCCAGGTGGTTTGTCTCATTCATAGATGATCCCACTAGATAAACCTGGGTATTCCTCATGAAAGAAAAATCAGGTTCAAATATTCAAAAGTTTCAAAAATATGATTCAGACCCAATTCCAATAAAAAATACAAATCCTAAAGTCTGATAATACTAGAGATTATTTCAACTCCAGCCTAAAAGAATTTCTAGCAAAAAAAGGAATAATTCACTAAAGTTCATGTATAGAGAAGCCACAACAAAATAAGATCGCTAAAAGAAAAAATAGACATTTACTTAGCTGGCTAGATCGCTCATGTTCGCAACAACTGTACCAAAATATCTCTAGGGGGAAGCAGTTCTTACGGCAGCTTACTTTATCAATAGAATGTCGTCTAAAGTTCTAAAATTCAACACACTTTGTCACACCTCCTAAAATCTTTTCCAACAACTCATCTTATTTCCACCATCTCACCCAAAATTTTTGGGTGCTCTGTCTTTGTCCATGTCCATCAACAACATAGAAGTAAACTTGATCCTAAGTCACTCAAGTACATCTTTCTTGGGTATTCCTCAAATCAAAAAGGGTATAAGTGTTATTCTTCAGTCACACAAAAATTCTATCATTCGATAGCATCACCTTTTTTGAAAACCAGCCTTACTACCCCAAAACTGATATTCAGGAGGAGAATTCAACTCAGGAATATCAATTTTGGGACTTTGAGTCATCATTGAGTCACCCATCACCACAGAAAATCACATTTCTCAAGAGCCTCCGAATTCACTCCTACCTGTTGAAAACATTGTGTTCATTGTTTACTTGGGGGATAAGGAGCACATCCAAAAGGAAACGGAGGAAGGAACACTTCCTCAACAAATCCATGAAGTTGAACCAAGTCCGAATTCGAGCAAAATTCCAGGTAACAATATTTTTGACTTAGATAGTGTTGTTGATTTCGAGTTAGAAAATGATATTCTAAATATGCCTATAGCTTGAGAAAAGGAGTTAGATCATGCACTCAGCATCTCATTGGGAATTTTATTTCATATGATAAACTATCACCATTTTTCCGTGCCTTTACTACTAGCATCACAGAGATACAGGTTTCTCAAAACATTCAGGAAGCTTTTAAGTGTCCTAAGTGGAAAACTGCAATTGATGAGGTAGTTCAGGCTCTTGAAAAGAATGGTACTTGGAAAATTATTGAACTCCCGAGGGGAAGAAACCAGTTTGGTGTAAATGGATTTTCAAAGTAAAGTACAAGGCAGGTGGGAATGTGGACAAGTACAAAGCGAGGTTGATCTCCAAATGATTTACTCAATCATATGGCATTGACTATTAGGAAACATTTGCTCCCGTTGCCAAGCTCAATACCATTCATGTACTACTTCACTAACTCGATGTAAATAATGTCTTTCTCAATGGTGACTTAGAAGAAGAAGTGTATATGGAAATTCTTGCAGGCCTAGAATCAAGATTCAATGTCAACAAGGTATGTCGTCTCAGAAAATCCTTGTATGGCTTAAACAGTCTCCTCGTGCCTAGTTTGAAAGATTCACTAATACAGTGAAATGGTAAGAGTACTCTCAATGTCAGTCGGACCACACATTATTTGTGAAGCACTCATCTGATAGGAAATTGGTTGTTATCATTATATATGTGGACGATATCATTCTGATAGGTGATCATGAGGAGGAATTATGTAAGATTAAACAATTCCTTACAAAGGAGTTTGAAATCAAGGATCTCGGGAACCTCATATTTTTATCTCAAAATAGAGATTGCATGGTCAAAGAAAGGTATAGCAGTCTCACAACGTAAATATGTTCTGGATTTACTAAATGAAACAGGAATGTTAAGATGCAAGTCTACAGAAACTCCTATTGATTCAACTGTCAAACTTGTTAACAATGATGATTGTGCACCAATTGATAAAAGAATGTATCAACGCCTTGTAGGGAAGCTCGTATATCTATCCCATACAAGGTTAGACATAGGTTTCTCAATGGACAAGTTCAATGATAGATCTCAAATCAACATCAGGATATTGTTCCTATGTGTAGGGAAACTTGGTGACTTGGAGGAGCAAGAAGCAATCTGTTGTACCCCGTAGTAGTGCAAAAGCAGAATTCCGAGCCATGGCACAAGGAATTTGTGAAGGAATTTGGTTATAAAGATTATTGTCAGAATTAAAGGTTCCCTTGAAGCATCCTATGGAATTATATTGTGACAATCAAGTCGTCATCAATTTGTGAAGGAATTATATTGCCATCACATGCAACTGTACCTTTAACAATAATTCAACCTACCTTATCAGTCAATTGTATTTTCTCCTTCTCTTTACGGAACCTATGAAATTTTGGTATGGAGTTGTTGTTTCAATTTTGTTAAAATGGACAGATTATACCAATTTTGGGAAGAATCTTCTTTTGAAATTTATATTATTGTAAATTTCTCCTTTGAAATTGTGGTCAACCTTCCCTTATTTTACCCTGAAAGAAAGCCTGTATTTTTTATCTAAGCCAAAATAGTGCAATTCTTATCAGGTCAAATTTTAGGAGAGAATGAAATTTGCCACTACGCCCACTATACATAAAAACTTCATGTAATCCCTGTTAGCAGGAGACGGGTATTTTCATATTTATATATATTTTCGTATTTTTATTTTTTAAATTTGAAAAATAAAAATAATTGTCTTTTCTTTCATGTAAAAAAATTTTTGTCATTTTTTTTTTAAATTTTAAAACCTTTTTTTTATTTAAGTTATTTTATTGTGTTTGGTTTTTCTTATTTTCTTATTATTTTTAATAGTTAAATTTTAAAATCAAACAATTATTTTTTTAAACGTTTAACTTAATTTTTTTTTTTTTTTGTTTTTAAATTTAAAATTGAAAGACTAACACCAAATAAGTATAGTAATAACACCCTTTGTATTAATGGCTGGACATCGACAAAATGTGAAAAACCCTGACCTTAAATCTAAAATGGTTGGGTGGTTAGAGATGAAGAAGAAGATGGGAGGATAGTATAGTAATAACAGCCTTTGTATTAATGTCACAACTTCACGATCACTAACAATGTTATAAATCTATAATAAAAGAAAGGTGGAACATATCGTT